TCACTATCCTTGACGCATTATCGTCGACGAAACTAAAGGCTCTCTAAGCGAAGGGGTGGGGAACCTTTTGTCACCAGAAGGTCGTATTTCATTTTACGAGCGCTCGTAAGGAACGCACAATTGGCATGTAATAAATTTTACAACTCTTTAAAAGAGAACAATTGAATACAATGCAAACTACAAATTAACTCTTCAAACTGTCTCAGTTATTGAGTATATTATTGTACAAATGGGACGTTTCGACAGTGAGTAAAGCACTCCTCGGACTTGTTACCACGGTACATAAAACCAGAGGGTACATTTTAGAATCTACAGAGTGGTGAAAACAAAAGATCCAGGGTAGGAATATTTTCATGTACGCGAATGCTCGAGAATTGTAACTAACATTTCTCTGGCGAAGCTTAGCGATAAGGTAATCCCGCGTTACGACGTGTGCGTAAACTGGAAAGGACAGATAATCCATTGTTTTTATGCAGCACGATAACTCTCGAAGCGTGCAATCCACTCGCTTTTTAAAAAATATTTAAAAGTTAATTTTTCCAAATTTCTGTACCCATTTTCCAACCACGCTGTATAATTCGTAAAGAAAGACACGTCGAGATCCTGAAACTCTCGTGTTCCTCCTTTCCAAACGAAATCGTGCGTTCGCGAGGACTGATAACACGACGGACTCGCGGCTCATTGTCAGGGGAAATCGCGGTCCAGCCACTTCCTGCGGCGCGCACGCTCACTTCCGTCTCTCTCGCGGGCCTGATAATCTCCGTAGGCAGGTCGTACTGAAACAGCGGCCTCGCGGTCGTTAATTTCTTGCCGGAGTGAAACCGGCACGGAGTGCGCGCCACCAGAGATCAAAGGATAATATTTCTCACACCGGCCGACAGTATAATCGGCACGCAACGTTTCCCTTCTCGCGAGCCTTCACAGAGAGTCTCTTTCTCTCTCTCTCTCTCTCTCTCTCTCTCGAGAGAGAGAGAGAGAACTTCGATTCCCCACGCTGTGTTTGCACGTGTGCAAATCGACCTCCTCCCCGTGAAAATTGGCGATCGAGAGGCCCAACCAGCGACACACTTCCTCCGGGTCCAGGCCACTTTCCCGTGTGAGCGTTGCTCCGGACACCGGAAGGGAAACAACCGATCGATCGATAGATCGCTTCCGTGGCCCGCCGTGGAATAATCGGTCACGCTACGCTGCTCGCGGATTTTTCACCTTTTCCCCTTGTTCCCAGCGATAACCTCGCGAGTTTCATGCAAATATCGCGGGGAAAGTTTCGGTTATGACTAACCCTCGATTCACGTCTATAAGGTGTCTTTGCAATAGCGATACAACCTGGACAGGAACGATTCTTTATGAAAAACTAAATCGAAAGTGTAGAATAAGGTTTTTGCATACGAAGCTTCGTTTTGGAGAAAGGTGACTTTGAAAATTTGTGGGGCATACAGGGTGATTCGCAGAAAATTTGAATCTTCGATTACTCTGTTGTTAGCGGACCGATTTTAATTTTTTTTGTGCCACGTAATATGGTTTAAAGAGCACTTTAAGATGGTTGCGGTATATTTTCTTACACTTCGACCTAATTTTTCGCGAGGATTTGGGTGCAGAGAGAAATTCTCTCCGTGGAATAATTGAAACGATCAACTCTAGCTGGTGTTCTTATTGTAAAAGTTTGCTCACGAATCGCGAAGATGGTTTCACGATGGAACTTTCCGCGTTCCGAAAGAGCAGCCAGAAGGGCCGAAAAAATGGCGGCGAAAAAGGCTCGCCGCGATTCCTCGTGATAACTCGGATTTATTGCTCGGGGCGAGGCCGTGGCTTCGCGGTTTTGGCATTCCAGTTTCCTCCGGAGAGCTCGTACTACAAAACGATACGTTTCCCTTCGTGTAACAAAGTGAACGGTTGATTTACCGCTTAACTAGTTCGCGAAATAAATTCGAAGCACCGGAGAAGAATTGTTACATCAACCTATTTAACACCTATACGATTTATATTTCGAGTTGTGACTTGGTTACAGAGGAATTCTCTGTACGGCGACTCGATCTAATCAGAAATTTATGGCAGCTTTGACGTTATCTTCCCGCGTCCTACTCTAGATCCTCTCTTAACAAAGAAGATTCACACTTGGAGAAATCGTAACAGAAAAACTAGCGTAAATTTCAATCCTTCCACCTGACGAGCATAAATCACCGAGTACGGAAATAAGAAAAGAATCCGGCGAAAAATGCAGCCTTGAAGCAGAGACTGACGGCGATTTCGCGATAGTCAGAATTTATTCAACCTCTACACCTGTCTGTCGCCTTCTTGAAATTTAAGCCCCGAGCATAGCAAGAGGATTCCACGTGTCTCGTGAAACTCGGACAGAACTTTCGTTCTCGCTGTCTTGCGTCTCCGTTCTCACCGCTACTTTATTCCCCGTCTCTATCGATAAGCAACAGGAAACGCCCTTGGTTAGGAATAAATTCTGCCTCGTAAAGTTAAGGAATAATCAGCGCGAGATTTCAGTAACAAGAGTGTTTAATTATTTCGTATATACATATCTGGCAGGTAGGAGTAAGAGAAGTGTAGGGGATAAAGCGAATCTTTCTAAGTTACACGCTCTTTTATCTCGCTTTAATCGCGACGGAGAGGAGACAGACTTCCGCGAGACGAGGGACGCGATGAAGACGAGAGATGGCTGCGTGGAGAGAGGAAGCGTAGAACGTCCTAACTGCCTCGTGTTCTCGCCGAGTTGCATCACGGATCACAGGGCTCGTTACACGACGAATCGCGTAATTCAGATTCTCACGGAGACGCGAGGATAGGAGACGAAGAATAGAGGTCTCTTGGGTATCGGGTGATTCGCGGTGTGATTACGTGTCCGTGTAATAATTACCGAGTGGACGTTGAACGCGATTAATCAACCTCCCCGTATATAGACACGGGAATAATTGAACTTTTGACGGGTTCCCGTCTCTAATGATATCGTTGGGGCAATAAAGAGCAGCTACTTCGCGTTCCTAAGGCTTGATCGAGCCCGAGACGCCCTTGGAAGTTAACGAAGAATGCGACTGTGTTGTCGTTGATTACACGGAAAATCGTTGATTACGCAAAAGGGAGTAAGGATGGAAATCATTAAGGAGAGATTACAGTGTCTATCGGGTCGGTGTGTCTTTGAGAACGCGTCCCCGTTCTTATCGAAGTCTGATTTTCACCTTCTCGTGTTCAAGAGTCGCGAAGCTTCGTGGAAGCTGGCGTTCCACGACACCCGGGCACCTTCTCGCGGTGTTCCGCACGACTACTCCCCATTTATCGTGTCCGACATGCGAGAATATCACCGAGAAGCAACCGAGAACCAGTCATCGTGCCATTAATTAGCCGGTTGACGCCTAGAAACAGGAATTCATTCCGGGGTCAGGCATTATCAATTGCTTTTATCGTTGCCCGAGACCGTTACGACGGGACACGTTCCGCCGGTTGCAAATAGAGTACGATGCACCCTGCTGCGGTGTGCATCCACTGCACTCTCCGATAGGCGAATCCTTGGAAACGCTGGAAAATCAATTAGCTCGTTCGCCTCTGTGATTTCGTTTCGTAACGTGTTACACGCTTGTTCCGCGATCGAGTAGAGCGACAGCAGTACCTTTGTCGATTATCAGGCGTTTATTATTGATAAAAAATTTCGTAAGGAATATTGGGAAAGGTTCTTGAAGAATTAAGAAACGAGACGTATGTATCGATTATCGGACTTTTATTAGACGTTGAAACGTCAGGTTATTCCAAGTACATAAGAAATTACATAAAGAGATTATGAATAAGAAAAGAATTAGACGTAGAAGACGTATTAGAGAACCCTTTACCCTCGCTCGTCCACTCTGTTTCCCGAGAGAAGAACGAACGACGTGTACGGCCCAAAGGGGAATGAGTCCCGATCGCCATGGTAACCGGTGACTCGGTCTCGCGGTCGGCCGTCGTAGATCGTCAAACTCCGATCCGGTTCGTACAAGTCCGCCCGTACTCGGCTGTATTCGTGGTAGCGAGGCCAACCGGTCGGCGGACGCAGTCTCCGCGCGACCAGTTCGATTCCACACGTAGCCAGTGATCGGTGCTCGTGGCGTGTGCGTCGCGTCGCGTTTACATTACCATCTCTTAACGTTCGTGTCTTCTTGGTGTTATTGTCACGTTCCGGAAACACGGTGTGCCGCGTTCTTTCGCGTCGCCATTCGATCGTTGGAACGCAGAACGCAGAACGAAGAACGAGGTGACCGTACACGAGAGACGAGCCGGCGATTAAGCTATACGAAACCGCGAACCGCAGAGAAAAGAAACAGAGCACGTAGACTGCCGCTTTAAACGTGAAGCGTGTTTGCGAGAGAGCGCTGCACGCCCCAAGGCAAATACCTGTGCCTGGTTTCAAGTCGATCCACCGGCCCTCTGACACGTCGCTTCCCGTAGGCCGCCACTTTTCTCTCCGCTCGATCGGTGAAACGTGCCGAGATACCTACCTAAGAACGGTATCCTCGCGTATCGTCGCAATCCTTTGCCCCCGTGTACGCACACGAAAGACGCAGCAGCAACGTCTCGTGTAAAGCGACGAGAATCCAGCGTGGACTTGCGCAGCCTTCGTTTGAACGCATATCCACGTACGGGGGGCTTAGTGAGATACGCAGTGACCGATTTTTTCCATCGTTTCATATCTCTCGCTATGATATCGTGCGTTGTATTATCGCTGCGTTTCAGTTATAAGTGAACGCCGGCATTTCTTACTTCTGTCTTACGACCTTTGGTATATCAACAAACAGAGTGTACACGCGCGAGAGTGTGTAAGTACCCGGTGTGTACCGCGACCCGTTCCGGGAACCACCTGTTGATTTCGCGTGAAGCTTCGTGTGACAGTGCCGGAGAAACACGAGCGTGTGTCGGGCATGAGCTGAACGCGTTATCGACGGGCGCAGCTCGAGACACGACGATGTTCAAGTCGGTGTGAATAGTATCGGTGGTGGTTCGGACGCGGTGGTAAAGCAGGTCGAATGATGACCATGTTCGGGACCCTCGTCCAGAGGCTCACCTCCCCGGTGACCTCGCCGACGAGTCCGCGGCGTCGTTTCAAATCGCCGTCGCGTTGGGAGGTGCAAAGCGATCCCGAGGACGATCCGGCTGCACCGGTTAGGAAGTCCAGGGCGAAACATCTATTGGACAAGCGCAAGAGCAAGAGCAGGGCGCGAGCGTTGAACGTGCACGCTGAACAAGTGCAGATATGCAATTCCGGATGGCACGACACCGCGTTTCCGCCACTTCGGGGCACCAAAAGTCTCGGCAGGCTCGACGGAATGAAGGAGGTGAGTTTCTTTCAACGGTCATTTCTGCAACTTTGACATGCGCATCTATACATTGCGCATCTCGATAGTTACGATTCTTCGAATGCCACGAGTGGTGGCGTTGCTTATTGCGCAATAAAATTAAGCGAGGTGGCGGTAACGTCGAAATCCCTTGTAACCTGTCATCGTCAAACGAACTTGCGTAGCTCGATGGAATTTACGAGCGCGTTTGATCCGTCAGAGAAGGTATTTACACTGGCTTCGCCAATTAACGATCGATATTTAGAGGCGTCTGTTGCGCCTATTACGGGTACGATTAGAGGTTCTAGTAGAGTAACCGGTAGGAATTCGAGGTTAGAGTCATTCCACAGTTCGAGAATGGTGGTAAACACGCGACAAGCGAACGATAGTGGGCGTGCTTTCTAAACCGCTGTGTGCGTTCGCCTTTATCATCGATAACGCGATGGCCGCGATCGAGAACAGGTTTCTCTTCGTTTTCCATGCCGAAACCGGCACCGAAACCGCGAATAAATCGGTCGAACGTACGGGATCAGGGAAAATCGGGATATTAGGTTATGGTTCGTATCAAAGTAGCCAACAGTCGTTTCTCCGATAGATTTTAATTAAACGCGATTAAACTTCACGGTGTTACGTGTCGCAACCTGATTACATAATTGCATCGCAGCGTAATACCAGTTTTTAGACCGGTGTTTTTACTCTAGGATCGCGAGTTTCGCGTAATCCGCGCGCGTGGTTATGTAGCGCGGCCGAGAGCAGCATTAATGGGGTTTTATTTTCTGCGCGTCGAATCACAGCGGCCATTACCTTCGCTTCGCTTGTGTATACCGACGTGTGTAACCGGAACAGAGGATAGCAAGAGAAAAAATCACAGAGCGAGCGGAATTTCTCGTTCCTCGGCTCGTGTTTACGTCGTCTGTGGAATAGGTCGAATCTGAACCGGTAACATCACGTGGCATTCATCGACCGTTCACAAAAACGAATGTTTTCCTTGTTCCCCCATGCGCACAACGATACCACACGAGCTGCCTGCTTCTCGGAATTAGACCAAAAGAAAGCATACATCGAAGTACTTTTTCTGTCGCAATATTTTGTTTTGAAACTGTACGTTCGTGGAACTGGTCATCGGGTAACTGACCTCGCGTGTTTTTTTTTCCCGTTGTATTGCAATTTCGAACAAGAACGACCAAGTGTGTATCTTCGATTGTGTTTCTGAAGAGGACATTCTTTCATCATCGATATTCTTTCGTCTCAACTTATAATATACAAGATACGTGTAACGTTTCGATCTAACCTCTAAAACTATCTACAAAAGGTAACGTAGCTGTATTTTCGACGCAGTCGACTCTTTACACGTCTCACGATCAAAATTGTACATTCTTCCCCGACTTCGTACCGACTCGGCTCGTCCGTAATCAAAAAGCGCGGCAGAGGCATCGTAAAATCGGCAGCTTTCACCGAGTGTAACGCAACGTGCCGACACGAGCGTGTTCGTAACTCGAGCAAATTGTACTCTCTCCGTGAACAGCGGGGCGCAAAATCGCGGGGTATATACACGTATAGACTATGGAACGGCGCAGTCGCATAGCGGCCATTAAGTGTCGTCGTCGGCGGACCGGCGCGATTCGTAATTCGACGAAATTGCACGGTTTTAACGACTCACACGCTATTTGAACGACGGACCGAACAGGCTTTTGTGCGTTTCTCTGCGCGGCGCCACACGTATTTACACACACTTGAACTCTCTTGTATACAACGAAGGGCATTAAGCTGACCAGTAAAAGCGGGACGTTGCCAAATGTTCGTAATTCGAGCGACTCTTAACTCTTAACGACGACAAGACTTTCGTCGTCCCTTAACCTCTCCCTCTCTTTCTCTCTTTCATCGGTAGAGTGCGTTGGCTAACCTTCGTCGACGGTGTTCCTCTCCATCTACCGTATCTCTTTCTTTTTCTCTCTCCTTTCTTTCGTTCTTTTTCTTTTTTTCTTTATTTTCGTTGTTCTTTCGCGAGGGTACGCGAGGTGCCATTAATTTCGCGGGGCAAAAGAAAGAAGATGAATCTCGTCGAACGCGTTAGCGCTACGTAACTACTCCCCGTGGTACGCAGCCCTTAACGACCGGTGTTCCGCTCTCTCTCTCTCTCCCCTTGTATCCAAAGGAAGCCAAGTCTCGAAAGAGAGGAGAGAGGTTCGAGAGCAGAAGCAGCGAGCGGTTGCAACCGAGCGCGCGGCAGATAGGGATCTGCGCATCTAGTTAAATCGCAGCGCGGAGAGGGTTCTGGGATATCTCTCCACTCTCTCTCTTTCTCCGCGAGGTGGACACGAGGAAGTGGTAGCCTGGGCTACCTCTCTCGATCAGATAACATCGACGATCAGAGGTGATGGAGCACACGGTAGCCGAATATCCCGAACATCGGCCTGAACACCGCGCATGCTCGACTTTTTTTCTCTTTTTTATTTAACAGATACACGCCCGTCCTCGCGCACGTCTTCGAGGTCCTTGAACGCTCACCAAGGCCTTGGACCATACTTCCAAACTTCTCGATCACTGTTCGCAGTGTTTGCTTTCTTTCTGCAATTCTTTTTCATTTCTGTTAAATAACGAACTTTTTATTCTTTTTTTCTCTTCGTGCAATTCTTTTTCATTTATGTTAAATAACGAACCAATTGTTTTCGAGCAACGATAGATAAAAACCGTGGTAGTTTAATCTGTTTGCAATGAATGACGTGTACACGGCACGTGAAGGTCTCTCTCTGTAACTATTTTCTCAATGTGATCTCATCGTATTCATGAGTTAAACGCTACTTTTCTCTCTCTCTCTCTCTCTCTCGTTTTTATTCGTTGTTGTTGCAAACGGATTTACAATTCTCGTCTTTAGCTTGGTCAAGTCGAGAGGATTTTCAACGATAACCAGGTGAATAGAGAACGACTTAAATTCCTGACCGATTGGAAAGCTACCTTCGAAGGAAGCCCATTGGCCCCGCAGGCTTAGCGTAGTCCGCGCGCATTCCGAAACTCTGAATCAAGCCTGGTTTTCGTAGCTCGATCGTGGAACGCGGTTGTACCCTGAAGCGATTCCAACTTCGTTCCACGGGACAGAAAAACAGAACATTCTCCTTCTGGTGATAGACGAAATATTCTTTTTACCGTGGCAAATTTACACGTTGGATAGAAGAAGAAAACAAGGAAGAAAAATTCCATCATCGTAACCTCTGTTCTCTTCCCCCGTTTGATTTATGCTCGAACTTGCTTAGGAACACCGCGAGAGACGAATGACGAAAGTGGCCATCAATTTCGTATATATCAGGACGAGAAACGGATTAGCCGGGAGTTTAGTTGGTGAACCGTTCTATACTCGGTCTCGCGGCTTTTTATTCGCCAGAGATCCGCGTCGGTTTTTGCCGAGTGAACGAGCCAATTCGCCGCGGGTGTCCCCAGCATTGTCCAGCTGGAATCCTCGAAAAGACGAGGCAGAAAAGATGCTAATTGTGTATATGAAAATCGCGACGGGGGTGTTCGGCCATCGGTTTCGTTCTTTACGGGAGGGAGACGCGTACCTTTTACCATCTCCTCGTGCTCTGTTCCTCCTTTTCTTCGTTTCTTTTTTTTTTTTTTTTGGGCTTCCCTTTTTGCGTCTCCGCACACATGGACCAACGAGTTACGACATCCTGGGCATTCCCTGAGGATTTCGCAGAAAAACGGGTCTTGTCTATAGGTGGAAAAAAGACTGTGAAAAGATAGAGGTCTGACTCGAAATCGTTTCGACCGTGACATTCTTTGATCGTCCTCTTCCACGTGTCCTTGATCCTTCCTAGAACATGCTAGATCCTCTGGGAATGTCGTTTCGATGTGAATCGTTGAGGAAAGAAGGAGAGAAGAGTTGATTGCAAATACGAAGGTCCTGGCGTAAGCAGGAAGCTTTTTCACGTGTTCGATTGTTATCCTAATTACCACAGTCTTTTTCTTCTACTGTAATTAACTAACTACGCACACACGTTGCTCTACCCTACAAGGTAGAGATCCTCGAGAGATATCTCGTGAGATAGTTGCTCTCGAGGCGATTCATCGAAGTGTGGTGTAACTTTTGAATTCGTCGAGTATTTGGAAGTTTGCATGGTATCTTTCTTCACCGCCCTTTTGCAGGTCTAATTCGTTCGATGGCATCTCTGTGTTGCTTGCATTTTGATGACCGATGGAACGAGCCGTGACATTAGCCGCGTTATCAGAATGTAAACACACGGTGGAAAACGTGCCGTGCCTCGTAATTGCTGTACGTGCAACGATATACTCGCTCTTTGGCACATTTCAGCGGAGACCACGGTGATTCTGACCTTTTAAATACCGAGAATTCGAGGGGAAAAAAGAAATGGGGAAAGGTGTGTGTAGATTGGAAGGAGTAGTTAGTTGATTGTGTTTTTTGTAAGATATACGGGGTGGAACATGTGAAACAGGACACCTAATTATCTAATTCTCTAGCTATGGTGGTAGGCTAAATTTCTGTGGGGTATTTAAGTAGTGTCGAAGGGTGAATGGGGTTTGGAAGATGTATAGTCGGTGGAAGAAATGTAGGGAGGTGGTACATTAAGGCATTAAGTAGCTGAACTGATTGATAGAGTGACACCGTTGGGAGTGAATCAAAACTGAGGCGTGTTTGATAAGATCCTGATTAATTTTTTGAGTTCTTATCGTGTCAGAATATGTGAACTTTGACCCGTCTTATTCCTCCCTTATTTTCCCTTCTTTTCCAGACACGTTTGATACTGTTATCCTGATTGATTTGTCGAGTTCTTATCTCCTCAGAATATGTGAACTTTCACGCTTAATATTTCTTCCACAGACTATACTTTCATCTCGTTTTCCCTTCTTTTCCACATTTTTCCACGCAAATTGAATACGGCTCTGATTAATTTTCGATCCCTTGTCTTCTCAGGATATGTAAACTTTGACGCCCAATATTCCTTCTTGAACCTTCCTTGTTTTCCACACTTTTTCCAGGCAAATTT